TTCAGCCAGCACACTGGGTGCAGGCAGTTGCACACCCGCTCCCATTAGCCAGCTATTATCTGGGTTCACCACCACAGACATCACCAGCTCCTCTTTGATCTTCCAAGGTATCCAGATATGGCCCTTTCCACTCCCTCTAGTCCTAAGCAAGAGTGTGGGAGCCCTGGGCAGAGCCCCAACCCAGATAGACCATCATAATTTTGTCATTTATGATTTACATAATATTTTTACATGAAATGTGTAATGTTATATCATACTAGGGTTAAGAATATTTATTACATCACTTAGAACATATTATCCAGTCAAGAAATGTTGCATTCTCTGGAACTGGAGTTCTTTCTGTGACTACAGATCTCCTGCTCTGCCATTGAATTCCTCCTTGAAGCCTTCCCAGTTCTTTCTGCCCTTACAACAATCTCTGTAACCAAGGATGCTTCCACATGGTGAGAATTCCCTATGGAACAGAAATTGCTCCATGGATGGTACAGTGAAATGGGGCACTTTCACCCAGTACATCATCCTATCTGCAGTCCCACAGCTTCAGGCATCATCTTTCTAGGAGTCAAAAAGGACTACTGGATGAAACTAGGAGAAAGTGAGGAAAACTGGTGTGCATTAGCTGGATCCAGCACATTCATTATTATCACCAAATTTAGAGAAACTTATCTCTAACTGCTACAAACAAGCACTAGAACATGTGATTAAATACACTTTTAACTGCTGTTTTGCTGTGCAACAGTACTATTGCAAACTCTTCTTTAAAGAGGAAACTAATATAGATTAAAGGTTACATTAAAGGATCTTGAGAATTCATCTTTAAGTGGTGGTGGAAAGCGCTGACAAGTCACAGTCAATGTATGGAGACCCCATAGGGTTTTCAAGGCAAAGGAGTATCTGAGGTGGTTTGCCATTGCCTGCCTCTGCATAGCTCTCCTAGACCTCCTTGGTGGTCTTCCATCCAAATACTAACCAGGGCCAACCCTGCTTAGCTTCTGCAATCTGATGAGATCATACTAGCCTGGGTCATCTTTAAGTATGAACTCATTATTATAACTTGTGGTTCCTTTTATGCTACTGCAATTATTTTGCTATTTTATCTGAAGAAGAAGAGACTCCTTCACTTGGAGTCTCAGAGCGGCTTACAAACTCCTTTCCCTTCCCCTCCCCACAACAGACACCCTGTGCGGTGGGTGGGGCTGAGAGAACTCTGACACAAACTGCTCTTTCAAGAACAGCTGTGCCAGAGCTTGTGACTGACCCAAGGTCACATCAGCAGGTGCAAGTGGAGGAGTGGGGAATCAAACCCGGTTCTCCAAGATCAGAGTCCACACACTTAACCACTACACCAAACTGGCTCTGACATTTAACTGACATTTAACTGGTGTTGTATATTCCATCGTTTTATAGGTTGTGCTGCTCATTGTTTCACCTGCTGTTTTGTTGTTTTACATACTCTGTTTTGCTGGTTTTATTGTAAACTGCTTCCGGTATGACACATGGTAATAAAATGCTTCAGGCACAACATATGGTAATAAATCAATGGACAGGAGGTTCACATTAAGGAGACTCTTTAACTACACAGTATCATGCTTGTCATTTCCTATACTTAATGCCTTTACTCTGGCCTCCCTTTTATTTACTGTTTATTTATTTATTGTTTATATTTATACCCCGCCCTCCCCAAAGGGCTCAGGGCGGGGTATAAATATAAAATTTTATTAAATGAACTACTGTTTCCTTTGGATCCTGGAATTCACTGGTTTCTACAAACAGTCTAGGGCTCTCAGCAGGCCTGGAGGAAAGTATTGTTCTTTTAACAGAGGCTTAAACTGCACTGTCTCAACCTACTGCAAGATAGCTAGAAGTGTCTGCTACTCTTCATTCATCAGCAGACCTGAAGGGGGCATGATTGCCCAAAGCAGTATTTCATCTCTACAGTAACTTAGTGCTACTACATCAAGCAAATTCAACCAGTATAAAAAATGTTTCTTCTCAATCTTCTGCCATCAGTTTCTTGCCATCAAAATATAAAGTAAGAAGGCAAAAGCCTTCTGCATACAAGCTAGTTCATAAATGGCATGTACTGAGATTTCTGCTATCTCTCATATAATTTTTTCCAGCATCTAGAAAGAGGATTGCATTAGAGAAAGAAGGTTCCTGCCTATGAATAAACCAGTTACTCCTTAAGGTGCCATAAAATACAAGAAATTAACTAGAATATTATTCAGAAAAAAGTAAATGTTTGTCAAGAAATCCAAGACAAATGATTGTACAGCAAATTATGCTGGAAACTACTGTCGTTTCCTTTGTTATTAATTATTTATTTATTGTATGGCAGAGTTACATGCAGAAAGCAGGTAATATAAAATACGTAACAAAGTAGATACAATGGGTATGGAGGCAGATTGGGCAATCCCCCTAAATACTAACATCTAAATTTTGAATCCACTCAATTGAGCTTCATCACATCTCCCTGGAAAGCACAACTGTCACATTCATGTGACAGATGGGAAATGGTTTGGCGGGCTGCACGACAATCACATTTGGGACCTGGTATTTTGCCCCATTTAAACAAGAGGTCTGTACAACTGCCAAAACCTGTTTGTATTCCATTGGCCATCTTCAATACTTTCTGTGGCAAGTTGAATCTTGCAGACCTCTCATTGGTGTTTATCAGGTTATGGATATTAGGTGGAACTGATTGCATCCATATTCACAACCATTCATTCCCTAGATTGAAATTTTGTGATTGCAGGATTTGTGCTGATCTTATTACTGGGTGTCAGGGCTAGGAATGGGCACAAACCTTGTCACGAACCTAAATTGATCACAAAAATCACCTGGTTCGTGAACTGAGGGTCATGCGCTTGCACCTGCAAAAAACCTCCCACCAACCTCCATGGTTTTTATGGAGATCCATGCGGTTTGTGTCAGTGGTACATGTGGCAGACATGATGGTGCCAATCAATCATCAAAGCAATTGGGGGATGGACTTCTGCAGCCCTGGAAACACCAATAGTGCCCCTCCAAAGCTTGACAGACAGCGCTGGCTGCCAATAAGAGAGGTCCCCGGATAGGTCTGCTGCAAGTTTGATGCCTCTGGCTTGCAGAGGTTCCATTTGATACACTCCTGGACCTGCAGCTGTGATTTCTCCAGAGAGCACTTTCCTGGGGGCACCACACCTCATCTTGGTTTTCGAACTTTCCAACCCCCCTCCTGCACTAGACCTCCCCCCTTTTTGCACTTTGGACATTAGGATCCCCAGCTTCTGCACCTCTGGGCACTCGCTCCCTAGCTTAGCATCATCAGCTGCCCTTACTGTGCCTGATTTTGCCAGAGAGCACTTTCCTGAGGGCACCTGCTTTGGGGGAGGGGCACTACTCATCACCCCAAGGCCAATCTGCACACAACCTGGAGGACAAGTAGAGGGGCATCCTAGGGAGATCCTCTGCGAATTTGATGCCTCTAGCTTGTAGGGGGGCCATTCCACACATTCCTCTACCTGCAACTGTGACTTCCCCAGAGAGCACTTTCCTGGGAGCACCTATTTTGGAGGGCTGTAACTTGGCCCCATGAAATACAATCCTCACCAAACTTGGAAGGCAGGTAGAGAAGAGTCAGCTGGAGACTTGCTGTGAGATTGGCATCCCTAGCTTGCAGGGAGGTCATTCTACTGCATCACTGGTTAGGCCTGCATCAGCCATGTATTTGTGGATGGGAGACTCTCTGTTTTCAATTATCTTTCTATATTCACGAATAACAGCATCTTGCCTTCAAGGATGCGAGGGAGCGATGGTGCACAACATAGGCAGACAATAGGTTGGAGGAGGTTTAATACTGCTGGTTCTCATAGTTTTATTGAGTTGGACATCAAGTTTGTGGACATGGGGGCCATTGAGCTATACTGAAACACTGAATTCCGCAGTACTATACACCAACCCCAAAGCTGAGCATTTAACGGTTGTAGCAGAGGCACTCCAAGTTGTACCACATAATTTTTGGAGAATGTTGTTTTGCACATGTACTTTTTAGGGTGTGCATTCAGCTTCCCCAAACTGAAAAAAATAATAAATGCCTTGTCAGTATTTATTTGGTATTCCTAAACTGAATGCAAATTCAAGAAACTTTTCAGCAACCAAATAGTTTCCCGAATTTATTTGGCTTTTTTTGCTTGTGGGTAGCCAAATACCAACATCCCTCCCTCTATGACTTCCCTAGTCAATTTCACTCCCTGCCAGTCAGCTGTTAGGTTTAAGCCATTTAAACCTAACAGCTGACAGGACAGTGGGAGTGAAACTGACCAGGGAAAGCCTCCTCTCTCTGCCTTCCCTTCTCCAGCTGCCCCAGTGCTGCTAAAGAAGGGAAGGCAGAGAGTGCAGCCATGTTTAAATGCCTTTCTTTCCCTCCCTTCCACTCTTTGGGCCCACGGCCCACCCGGCCTGCTCCAGCCTCTCCAGGGGCTTGCCCGCTTCTCCGCCCCTGGGAAAGGCAGGGATCTCGCTGCAAGTGCGGCCAGGTGCATCCCAGTGTTCTTGCCTGCCCTGTCCAGCGTCTGGCCTTCTCTGGGGGTGCTGTGACCGGGGCTGCTTTGTGCTGCCATCTCCTGCTGTCGCCGCCAGTCGGGCCTTCCGTAGGTGGCTCCCAGGTAAGGCGCCGGTCTTTGGTGGGCCTGGGTGCCATTGGGTGCCTTCCCTCTCCTCTGAGGGGCTTCATCCACCGGGCTGGGGGTTGGACTCGGGTCTCCTCTGTTGGAGAGACCTGGCCTGGGCTGGGACAACAGTCATGCATCTATCCATGTGTTTCCTGGTGGCTACAGAACTGTATCAGTCCACTGGATTGTGCATTTCTATGAATGTTTTGAAAGAATTATATTGAATTTTTAACTTCAGGCATATGTATTTCATCCACACTAAAGTTTTCTGCACAAGGGAAAACATGAAGCTCCTGTAAGAGAAGGCACCATCATACAGTAGTTATTTCAAGCAGCAAGCTAAATTACCTAAATTCATTTTTATGTATTTCAGCTATTTTTCTTTCCAGCTTTTGGGACTGTTTGGGGAAAATCTTGAAGTCACCAACATAATTGTCTAGTTGTTCATCAGGATCATAGTCACCAAGCTCAGCTGTGAAAAGAGAGCAAGAGAATAAAATGTGATACAAATAAGTTGCCAAACTCCTAGTCAATAAAGAAAAACCAGCAGCATCAACATATAAAGACTTGTGAAGATTATCTTAAAAGGTTGCCAGATGGAGGAACTTTCCCAGGCTCTGACTGGAAAGGACCTGGAAACAAGCAATATTTGAGAACTCTTCTCTCTTTTTTTTTAAAGTAAATTCTTTGTTGATGATAAAACAAACAGTTCATACAACAATTATCAACTTTTTTGGGATAACATGGTGTAGTTATGTGCTGGGTCCTCCTTTTGAGTGCCTGACTACCTGCACCATCCCCAACCACCCACTGCCACAACTCCAAACTCAATTACGTGTAGCAACTACAGCTGTGCTGACAATACCAGCAGCTGCAGGTAGGAGGGATGGTAGAAGAGGAGTCTCTATCTCTGTCTATCCCTCACCTCTCACACACTGCCTACAGTTCTGCTGCGGCAGCATCTAAACCACCACGATTATCAGTGCCTCAGTACTGCTGAAACAGCACTTGAGGCAAACAGGTGGGCAGGGCAAATGGGAGACAGACAAGGGCTGTATTTTGTGCTAACTGAAGGGTCAACTGCATTCAGTTCACCCACTGGTTCTCTTCCACATTGTGCAGGACAGAGACAGAGAAAAAGATACTGATTCAGTTGCATAATTAATTACAATTTATTTAAAACATATTTTATGGCCTTTGATATCGAAACCAATATTTCTGCCAAGATGCTATTTGCTGCACTTACCTTGGACAATACATGCACCCAGATAGGCAGCATCAGAAAAAGAACACAGCAAACGGCCATGGAAAATATCTCTTTTGATTTGTAGATACATGAGGTACCTGCATTATGTAGACAGAGTATACTTTGTCAGACAGATTCATCTTTTGATCACTGTAACTCCTACATGTACCAAACTCATGTTGCCTTTATAGCTCACAACACTACATAATGTAAAAGCTCCACAGATACAATTCAGGAAAGAAAGTTCAGTCTCATAAAAACAGACTGCTGAGAAGGAGATAGGTATGTATTCCTACTCTATACATCACATCCCAATAATGAACAATATAACACTAAACATACAATTTATAAACATGAGTTGCAACATCCAATTAGTATTACTTTTATCATAACATCACACACAAAAAATACAAGGGTACTATTAGACACTGGCAAAAGACCACCACGCAGAACAGCAGCAAAAACAAACCTATCTTGTTTTTATTCTGTGTATATATCTGATGCTACGGCACCAACAATCTTACCTAGAAGTTTAAATAACATCTTCCATGGAATTAGAATCAAAATGCTAACTAGGCAAGGAGAGAAAACATGTTCTCCCACTGTCAGAACAATATCTTGAGAGGGGGACTTTTAGAAAGAGCCCCTCTTTGTACTGGCTGTCCACTCTAGATTGCAGTCTCCTGAAGCTTCTGGAGGGATCCTGTCTTAGAGTCTACCTTGAGCCTGGGCAAACTAAAATAGTGATTGTTATCAGATTGGGCTTGTGTCTCTGGAGTATCAAGGTGAAGCGAACCTGTATTAGAAAACTCTGGATATCTCAGAGCTTGTCTTTAAGTCTAAACAGGCTAAAATTGTGAATGAATGGAGATGGGTTCAGGCTTCCAGAGGGGTAAGTGGAAAAGCCATTCTCAGGAGATTTTGGATGTCTCAGTCTGACTTTTGAACACATGTACTCATGAAGCTGCCTGGTTCCGAATCAGACCATTGGTCCATCACAATCAGTACTGTGTACTCAGACTAGCAGCAAATGTGGCTTCTCTATATTTGCCAAGTCTCAAGTCCAAAGCAAGACACCTAGCATGTGCGACAGCTACTGCACATTCCCCTTTGGCTTGAGTTGGTTTTGCTTCTTGCCTAATGGGCTGGGAAGCAGACAGACAGCGGCATCTTCTTCCTCCACTGCCACTTCCAGCATCTCTGCAGCAGTTTGCCCACCCATGATACAGTGGACTCAGCCCACAGAACACCACTGAAAAAGATGAACCATGTTCTGTGAGCTTGAGATTCTGCAGGAACTCCACTGGAGCCTTCCAAAACTGCTGGAGAACACATGGACAGATGAAGCTACCTCACAATGAATCAGACCTTGGTCCATCACCGTCAGTATTGTCTACTAAGACTGGCAGCAGCTCTCCAGGGTTTCACAGAGGTCTTTCACATTACCTCCCACCCGGTCCTTTGAACTGGAGATGCTGGAGACTGAAAATGGGAACTTCTGCATGCAGTGCAGAGGCCCTACCACTGACTCGTGACCCCTCCCCGAATAAATTTAGAGTAGAGTTAGGCTGAGGTTTATTCCATCTACTACAGTAGAAATGGGCATATGGTGTTGGAGTATACACCTACCCAGAGCCCAGTGTCTGAGGGAGACTGGCTAAAGATTTGTGGTTTCTGGGAAGAGCTGACATTTACTCTGTGAGAATCCTGCAGTGGAAGACAGGCTAATATTCACCTCAAAAATAAAAGATTGGCTATTCTCTGCAATCAGGAGTTGACAACTGAGAGTTTCCTGTAAATATTTTTATGCATCTTTATTAAACAACCTATTTCACCTATCCCTGGTTGTGAATAAAAGTAACGGTCTTTTATCCTGTTTCCCTGATGTCTCCTATGGAATAACTGCATTTCGAAGTCCATGGGTTCAGTCTGTTGAAGAAGTTTGGAGTAGAGACCATTCTGGTTGAACTATGTAGCATGCTACCTCTGTTTAAACAGCTCTTAAAACTTCATACCAACTAGTTCCAAGCAAAAAATGGAGCTTTGGATTTTTGTGTCTCAAATAACAGTGTCTTCATGTCACATAGCAAATCGCCTTTGAAAGCAATGTCACAATGGATGTGGCCTGCTATTCAAAGGAAATAAGTCAAAACATCTCCATGAGAGCCATCCCTGTGCCTAAATATCTCTTTGGATCCCAGCCCTCTGTCTGGAAAGTAGTAATTTTTCATAGCTCAAAAGTCTTCTTAGCATTGTCCAACACTGTAAGATCCATTATTGCTGTGCTTTGTTCATAATTGCCCTTTTTGTGGTTTCTCCCTAATGTAATAGTAGGCCATCACAGTGCATCAAACCCCCTTTTAAATGTTCACATTTCCTGACTGCAGGTGGTTCTCAAGAGAAATAATTTGTTCTGATGCTGCAAAATGATGATACAAAAAACCCAAATCCACAATGATAATGTGCTAAAACAGTTTGCAACATAATCACTTTGAGCCAAAGCACTAGCCTCTAAATCTACTAACTTCTAATAACAGTTTTTAGTTGTGTAAATCAGTTTGCACTATCTGGGGACTGATAGGAAACCCAAAAGTAAATCTGAGAAACTGCTTGCATTTCCGGTGAAAGCAGATACAAGTAACAAAGAGATAGATCAAGACGGGTAGCCGTTAGTCTGTCTGTAGCAGTAGAAAAGAGTAAGAGTCCAGTAGCACGTTAAAGACTAACAAAATTTTCAAATACATGGTGACAGCGGCTAGAACTATTTATGCAGAAAAGTGGAAACTAGACGTCTGTCCACATTTAGAAGAATGGGAAAATAAACTTGCTGAATATGCAGTAATGGAAAAATTAACAACCTATTTAAGAAACGGGTCTATTACAAAATCTGAGGAGAAATGGAGTGTGTATTATGTGTATTATGCTAGCAGAAAACAAACTTAAAGTGAGAAAATATCATATACAAATGTATATGATAAAATAGTAAAAATAAAATCTGTTCCAAATGTAATATCTCAAATACAAATAGATATATAACATTCGTTTACACTGTGATACACTACTTATCTATTAAAGTGGTGAAAATATATTATACTGAATTCATAGTAATGATGATACTGAAGGAACATTTAGAAAATTCCTATGGGGAACAGGCCTTATGATTAAAACCCTTTTGCTCAGACTCAAAAGTCATCAGACATCTGAAATGGATACTCTCTGCAATCTGCCTCTCCTTTCTCACCCACTCGACTAAGAGCCATTTTTCTGTGACAACAACAGGAAGCTAGCATCATCCTGTTGGGAAATTTGGAAATTTGCTCCATTAAGCTATGGAAACTGTCTTTTGGTAAGGTTTTTGGGGAAGCAGGTGCATTAGATGATGAAACCTAACTGAAACGCTTGCTAAAAAGATATGAGCCCCAGAGAAAGTGTGAAATAGGAAAGGATTGTGCAAGAAAGTTCTCTTTTGCTCTGTAAACTTTTAGTTTTCCTATTGCCTATGTTTAAATTGCTTAAAATGTTTATGACGTGTACTCTGCATAATTAGTGTGTATAAAACTCCTCGAGGTCCTTTGTCAGGTGTGCAGCCAGTTTTAGAGCTCTTGGGCTCGGCGCACCTTGACGTCAATAAACTTTATCTCTCCTCTTGCCTGCCTGGTGGTCTGGAGTTCTTTGGACTCAAGCCTTTGTTTTGCTCTATTCTGCTTCAATACTAGTGTTGTAGTCAAAATAGATCAGCTCCCCTAGAGAAAATGGTTGCTTTGAAGGATGGACTGTATGGCATTGTACTATGCTAAGGCCCCTCCCCTCCGCAAACTGCACCCTCTCCTGGATCCACCCCCAAAGTCTCCAGGTATTTTCTAACTCAGACCTGGCAACCCTATCTCCCACTATTTTCCTTTAAAAAAACAAAAACATTTTTTTAAAAAGACTAACAAAACTTGTGGCAGGGTACAAGCTTTCATGAGTCACTGCTCACTTCTTCAGAGTACCAAAGAGGCATTTAACATCTTCATCTTAATACTTGTTACACAGTTCTATATGAGAAACATAAGTTTGCCAGATACTATGAATTCATATTTTCACAGGCTGAGGGGAAGGGGTTGAATATAAGATAATGTAGAAAAAGGTTCATAAAATATTTCCCAACTTTCAAGTCCCACTATAAATGCAATGGGTAATGTTACAAAAAGGAGTTAAAAGATAGTTAAAGTCACATGCTGATTTCTGCTAAATTTTATGACTTTATGATCATTTTCCCCCTTGTGATGTATAACAATATTACTCATTGCTCTGTGGATCTTCACAATCCATAGAAGAAAATTGGCACTGTCAGCCAACAGGGAAAATTACTATTAGGTGTGCTGTCAAAAACAAACAAACATGTATTTGACAGAGCCTCTCCCTGAGGATGCTGAGGTAATTTTTTTCCAGACAGAAATGATTTGAAAATAATTTGTAATGCTTTCTGCCAAAACACAGTGCTAGATTCATTGTTGTGAGTTGGGGGTGATGTTTGTTTTTTGCTTGCTTGCTTATTTAACCCCCCCCCCCCGTAAGGCAAGTATCTGAAGCAGCACAATTAGGCAAAAATAGTCAAAAAGTCAGTTACCAGCCTGAGTGGTTTATAATTAGTTACTTGACATTTCCATAGAGAATAGGAAATACATCTTTTCACTGTAGCATTTTCCATTCATCAAGCATTTATGTTACACTCCCATAACCATTCTTTGACGGAGTCCCCCTCCCACTATGCTACACACTTGAACTCTTGAACCCAGCATCTCCTGTGAAAGGCCCTGAGAAAGACTGGCGACAAAACCACATGGTTCCCATAACTCTGTTTTATGAAGGATTTACCTGTGAATGTTTCAGTGTGTATATTTGTGTGTATTACTGCACATCATCAGATCATTATTCTAAACTACAAAGCAGAGAGCTAGTATACCAGACAATGTCATAGCTTGCAGCAGAACCCACAGCCAAGATCCAGGTGTGTTGAAGCAGAACCTGCAGCCAAGATCCAAGTGTGTGCGTATACCATGGGTTTGGGTCTCACAGTCTGTCAGCAGATCGCACTAACAGCCATAGGTCTTCCTGACTCTCTTCTCCTCCAGCAACCATTTCCAACCCCAGGAAAATTTATTCCTGGCGTTGAAGGATCCTTGTGTATAATAGGTTGGGAGGCTGCAGGAGGAAGGGGACAAAATCACTTCCATTTGCTCCTTGTGTGAGCAGAGATGCACCAATGGATGAGGCAGAAGGGAGTAATTTCACCACTTTCTCTCCTCACCACTGCAACTGCAACCTCCTGACCTGTACAGCTATTACTTAATGCCTTGCCAAGTGATGTCTAACATATCTGTTCACTGATGGGCCCCTTTCAAGCCCCCTATCCTCCTCTAAAAATTCCTTTAAAATGCATGCAAAATGAAAGTTAGCAAAAGTGCAAAATGTTTAGTATAGCATACATGATGATACAGTTAGCCATGATCCTAAGATATCAGCTAATGCACAGACAACAAAAAATACCTGGTAAGCTCTTCTTTAATCTTCAAGGGTTCATGTGGGTAGAATTTCACTCTAAAGCACATGGTATATGGTGGATGAGCTGAAACATTATAAAGAAAAAGCATGAGAACAGCTGTATAAAACATGGCTTCTTCTGCACTGCAGGACAGGTTCCCAACAGTTTTCCAGAATAGCTTGTGAGATGCAGTGCACCAAATCAAAAAGAAAATAAATAAAAGAAGGTACAATGTATGATAAGGAAGCTCAAAGCATAAGCAGGATACAGTCTATCTAAACCAAAAGTTTGTAGACTTCAGTGCTATATATATTTTTCACAGATAAATCTCACCACAAAGCGAACAACTCCTTCTGATTTTTTTGATACATCTGGACAGTGCCAGAGCCATGGGTGTTTGTACCATGGAACCAGACCTGGACTATACGACTTCCAGTCCAGGATCCTGCAGCCAGGAGTGAGAACTCAAGCGTAAGTAGTCAGAGGGGTTTTCTTTGCTGAGTAGTCAAAAGCAGCCAGCCAGGCTCCTAGTACTTATAGGTGGCTTTGCTAATACAGAGACCTCTTACAACATACAGAATCATTATTAGGTATGTGCTACAGTGACCTCTAGCACTAGCTACTTACAATCTACTTATGCTACTTGGAAGACTTTATCAATGACTGTACCATGAATATTTATTTATTTTATTTGTTGCCTAATATAAGTTTGTAGATAAAAAGTCATTTTAAATAAAGGACTGCTTTACTGCTGTTTTGCAAGAGGCTGTAGATCACAGGAAGCATAAGGCACTTTTTCAAGTGGCAGTAAAATCAACATTTTGCTTTTTAAACTGCTTACTCTAATATATATTTTTATTTAAATGACAGCCACTAGAACTGTAGCTATTAAATGCACTTGAGTTTTAATATTATATAAACACATGATGCTGCATTATATTTGACCAAACTACTTATACCTCTTGTTCAGGACTGTCTAATTTGACTAGGAACAGCTCTCTGGGATTTCAAGTTAAGCAAGGTCTTCCCTAAGGTCTACAGCCCCCAAGGACTGAACCTAGGGCTTACATAATGTGCTACCAGTGAGCCGCAGTCACATTCAACTCAACTTGTTATGCCCACAGACGTTGGAATCAAGGGAGGGAGTTTTAAAGAAGAAAATAATGGGGATGGAGCAAACATAAAGATGTTGGCAGTCAAACATTTACACTGGGGGGGGTCAATATCCTGCCATCATACCTACCTATTTAGGCACCTCTTGGGAAAGTGAGCATCATTTTACAAAGCTTTCTGTTTCATATTTAATAAAGTGGCTTGCTAATTGTGAAGCATAATATCTGATATAGTCAAAACAACACATGAGAGAATTGGAGGAGGATTGTGCAGAGGTGTGATACAAAGAGAGTGTCAGGAAAAGCTAACAATGAACAGAGCAATAAAATAAGGCAAAGAAGTGATTTGAATAAAAAAGAGTAATAGCAATTTAACCTAGCACTCTTAATCTGTCCTTTTAATTTCATTCATTATGTACAAGAAATGGTAGCAAGGATTCTGGTTACCTCAACTTTAGCAAAGAATTCAGTCATTTGAACAGCCATGTTAATCAATCTTTTTAACCAAGGCTGCTGAGAGCCACCTTGGGGCCCAAAACAAAGATTCTATCTGGGCCGCACCATATGCCCCTGATTCAAATCAAGTATCTTAACAAAACAAATCACTTGGCTTGAGAACAGCTGTATAAAAATCCAATCCAATCCCAGAATGTTGATGAAAATTTCAGTGCCAAAAATGAAAGGAATCGGAAAATCATGGACCAGGTTATCTTCGCGATAGGTGACATGTAAATAAGAGAGCTTTTAAGCAACCTGTTATATATCTCTAATAACTCAGACCTCCAATCTGCCATTGAAAGTTGTTGGGTGACACACTCTCAGCCCCACCTACCTCACGGGATTGTTGAGAGGATAAAACAGAGCACCGGAGACTAACGGAAGCTGCTTTGGGTCCCCATTGGAGAGAAAGACTGGTTATTACATTTGTTATAAATCTAATTTTACCTACAGTACACTCCCCCAAAAGGATAATTGCTATTACTGTTGCTTCACCAAATATTGCTGCAACCCTTTTAGGAGGGGGAAGAACTGATCATTCAATATTCAAACTATTGTTAGATACTGTGAGTGCAACTATCAGGGCAGGACCTCGTATCTATAGAAGCCTTCATGGCTGTGTAAAAGAAACACAAGGCCTCTTTCCAGGCAAGCTGTGCCTGCCAAAAATGCCCTCCTCATCTACTCCACGTGCATAGCCACGTGAGGCACTCTCAATATTACTGTCTATTTTGTAATATTATATGTGTGTATACCAATTTAGGACACAGTTCTACATCTGATGATGTGGCCTCTAGTTCGCAAAAACTTCATGTCACAATAAATCTTCAGGACATTGGCTGCTGCTGACCATAACAATCAATAAATAAAATCATCAGCAAGTGAACCAGTAAGAAATCTTTATCAGTTCATCCTTTTATGTTTACTTAGCACAAAAGCAGAGGCAAACTGGGTTATGTAGTTCTGCTGGATTTTGATGACAAAGACTACGACTAGAGATGGGCACGAAACAGCTCACGAACTAAAGAGGAATTTGGGTTTGTGGTTTGCAAAACAATGTTCATGAGCATTGCTATAATCACAAATTGCCATGAACTTTTAGAATGGTTCATGGGTGGTTCATGGTGATCCATGAATAACTACATTTTGCAGACAAACTGTCTCTAATCAATCAACTTGTTTTCCAAATTTCCCAGCAACAGCAGAGGGGGAATTCTCCAGCCTTGGAAACACCAACAGGGTGCCTCCAAAGCTTAACAGGCACCTCCACACTCTCTCCTTTCTTGGCAGTTGCAGAGAGACTCTGTCTCAGAGTCAGGGAACCTGAGGACAGCAGAAAAGCTTAGCAGAGCACATTCATTTCTTTTTCAATCAGGAATCCTTCCCGATTGTGAACACACCTCTCCTCAGCTGGGGTTTGTGTGTGGTTGGTGTCAGGGCTCTGAGCCACCTTGCCTCTTGGCTCACACTCAGTAGAGGGGTTAGCTACTGGGTGCTTTGGTTAAGGGGAGTCAGGGACCTACATATATCTACTGATTGTGAACACCTCTGTGTGCCATAAGGGTGAAAGTGGGTGCAGTGGGTGCTTCTTGTGATGGCAGGACATCCTCCACCACCACACCATACCACAGGCCCCTGTCCCCATGCAACAAACCCATTCTGCCAGCCCAATGACAGTCAATACCCTGGAGTACTGGTCACGTAAGTCTGTCATCTGGGCCAACCTCTCTTGTGTGGCCACGAGTCTCCTCTCCTGCCCTCCCACTAGTGTCCAGAGCGAAAGGGTGTTTTCCCAACTGGGAGACATTCTCAGCACTCACCACTCCCACCTGGACCCTGCCAGGGTGGAAGAGTTTGCCTTCTCAAGGTCAACCTCCCCCTGCTGGCCTACCCCTCACTGGTCCTCTCAAGCTAAGAAGATCCAAGCCTCTTGTTTTTCCCCTCCATGTCTCTTCATTATTCTTCCTTCTATCTGGGTGATCCAGCATGTGGCCTGCAGCTTGCACCCTTGGTGCCTTGGTGGGAAGATTGCCACCTCTGCTGAGTGGGGGTGGGCTGGCCCCACACCCAACCCTTTCTGATTGAAATTCCCCCACTGAGAAAAACCCTGAATATCCCCCCTTTATTTTTACCCTCCAAAGAAAATCTCCCTCACCCAACACCAGCTTCATGAAACAACACCTACCTCATTGATCAACATCCACCTCAGCAAATATCCACTTCAACAAACATCTTAACTACCCCTTCCCACTGCATTTATACAATTCAGAACAGGTGATCTCTTATATGTACAATGTGTTCTGCTAATGGTCTAAGGGTAGGCTGTCATTCCAGTCCCAGGACACTTCTCCTACTCCCAGGGGTTGCCAGCCATTCAACCCTCGAACCTGTCACTCCAGTCCCAGGACACTTCTGGTACTCTCAGGGGCCCTCATTCCACTTGGGGGAATAACAGATCCCAAAATGGAAAGATCGTCCCCAGAAACAGAATTAGTGCTCTGGGACTAGAATGACAGCCCCTGTCATTCTAGTCCCAGAGCACTAATTCTGTTTCTGAGGACAATCTTTCCACTCTGGCATCTGTTATTCCAGTCCCAGAGCAGTTTATCTTAGCCCAAATAATTAATTAAAAATCCACTCTGCATTTTCATTGCAAGTTTTTTGTGCTGTCATTTATTTCACTGGAATCCATGCAAGTCAATTGGCATTCTTGGCTCCCATTATCTCCAATGGGCCTTCAAGGAAAACTGGCTAAAACAAAATTAATTTCAACAGAGATAAATGTACAATTCTGCATTTAGGTAGGAAAAATCAAATGCAAAATTATAGGATGGGGGAGAGTTGTCTTGGCAGTAGTATGTGCAAAAAGGATCTAGGGGTCTCAGTAGACCATACACTGAACATGTGTCAGCAGTGTGATGTGGTAGCTAAAAAGGTAAATATGATTTCGGCTGTATCAACAGACGTATAGAGTCCAGATCACACAAAGTGAGGGTATCGCTTTACTCTGCTCTGGTTAGACCTCAACTAAAATATTGTGTTCAGTTTTGTGCTCCACAATTTAAGAAGGATACAGACAAGCTGGAATGTGTCCAGAGGAGGGCAACGAAGATGGTGAGGGACCTGGAGACCAAGTCCTATGAGGAAAGGTTGAAAAAGCTGAAAATGTTTAGCCTGGAGAGGAGATAACTGAGAGGTGATATAATAATCATCTTCAAATACTTGAAGGGCTGTCATATAGAGGATGGTACAGAGTTGTTTTCTGTTATCCCAGAAGGTTGGACCAGAACCAACGGGTTGAAATTAAATCAAAAGAGTTTTCAGCTACACATTAGGAAGAACTTCCTGACAGTTAGAGTGGTTTCTCAATGGAACAAGCTTCCCCAGGAGGTGGTGGGCTTTCCTTCTTTGGAGATCTTTAAACAGAAGCTAGATGGCCATCTGACAGCAATGCTGATTCTGTGAACTTAGGCA